GTGTAACCCAGGAATCACAGCTCATAGTGAGCATCATTCAGGGATTGCAGCAACGAGTGATGTCGATTGTGGTGCCAACCCTGGTGTCAACCCTGGTGTCGACCCTGGTGTCGACCCTGGTGTCAACCCTGGTGTCGACCCTGATGTCGACCCTGATGTCACTGAGTATGATTGTCACAAATTGCTGATTCGTTCTGCTGGTCTCCTCTCTCAGCTGATACAAGATCGAGAGCAGCAAAAGCAACAGCAGCAGAAACGTCATATGCAGAATCAGCAGCAGCAGCAGCAGCAGCAGCAGCAGCAGCAGCAGCAGGGCGAGCAGCAGAGAAGACAGGCGCAGCAAGAGCAGCAGCAAGAGCAGCAGCAAGAGCAGCAGCAAGAGCCGCTGCCATTGGTGCTGCAGCAAGAGCAGCAACTGAACCTGATCCTGCTCGCTCTTTCAAACGCCATGCCCCGCAGCGCGCGTGCCAAGAGGCCTGCCTCTGCCATGGCTGCACCCGCTGCTCTGCCTGCCTGCTACGCTCCTGCCTCTCGGCGCTGCATGCATCACATTCGTGACACGGCGACTAAGGCACGTAACAACTCCGCCTGTGAGGCTCCTGCCCCTCAGCTTCGCGTGCATCACACTCATGACGCGGCTTCTGAGGCTTTTCTGCCGCCCCTTGATCCGACTCTTGAGTCGACTCAGAAGGCTCCTGCCCCTCGGCTCGGCGAACAGACCACTCGTGACGCGGCTAGCGAGGCCTTTCTAACGCCCCTTGATCTGAGCACGGTGGACCACGGTGCGGATGGGGGGGTGATGGGGCGAGGAGAGGGAGGGGGGGATGCTGGTGGGGGTGTGATAGAGCTAGCATGGAGTGGGGTGGTGGAGGGGCCGGGAACACCCACACGCAGCAGCAGCACGGGGGAGCGCAACAGGGCGGGTGGAAGGGGGTTTCAGAGGATGGCAACTTGCAGTAGCAACAGTAGCATTAGGAAGCAGAATATTATGCTGGTTGTCAGGGCTATCAAGAAGCACGTGGCATCACGCAGCGGCAGCGTTGGTGGTCATAGGCGGGCGAGTGAGACTGCTGGTGGTCTGACGTACAATAGCCATCTTCCATCTGACGTAGAGAATTTTCAAAAACCACCTGCGTCTAGTGAAACTGCTGGTGGTCTCACGTGGAATAGGGAACTCTTCTCTGGGTCCCTTCTGCCCTCTCTGGATGCTGTTGCTGCATCCAAGCGTCATCAGCTCATGGCGCCACATGGGACATGTGGGAATGAGCCGAGGGCATGTGGGGATGAGTTGGAGGCGTGTGGAGCATTGGGGGATGCACAGCAGCACTTCAGCTTACACTGTGCTGATAGAAAGCTCACCGGCTTTTCTGCTTCTTTCGAGCGTGGAGGAGGAGCATCGTTGGCCGGGCATGGGTCGTTTGCCTTGTCAGTTCAGCAAGAGATGTTGGTATCACCATTAGTGCGGCAGCGACTCTCTGCCCCACCAGCCGCGCGGGAAATGTTTGGGCCGTTGATTCCGGCAGCAGTGGTTGCTTTTCTTGGGGGAAGCAACACCACTCGGGTTTCAGACTTCACACCTGTTGCCATGCGCAAAGAATTGCAGTCGTGGCTCGAGGGTGCTAGCTAAGGAGGAGGATTGTTCATTCTTGGTTGTTAAAAACTTCATGTGAACTTAGGAGCATGTGCAAATGTGCAGTTAGTTGAACCTAGCTGTGCTGCTGGTTGAATGCCCACTGTATAATGTTAAACTTCATGATTATTAAGGAATGTGGAAGCTCGGTAAATGAGCAGTAGAAGGGATTTTACACACATGGGATGTCTGCAACGTAGATTTCTCTTAATTATTCGCCAAAATGAGACGGAGATGGAGGGGCGTTTGCAAAAAACGAGACGCTTACAATCGGTACCCGTTCAGGCCCACCACACTCCTTGCTCCAAATGTGCGCTTCGTCAATCCTGGCGCTATGAACTTACAGATCCATTTGCCCAATCAAGATTGGCGAGAGTTTGTTTTCTGCCCAATCACGCGAAGTGGATGAGCTGGATGAATTCTCAATAACTACTGTAGCACGAGGGGCACCTTCCCTCCACTCCACAAAGTGCGTGCATGTGCAAGGTTGCCTTTCTGCCTTCTCCGTCCACTCCACACACCACACACCACACACATTGAACCTGGCGATTATTATTGCTGCATTGCGATCCTATTTTGGAGTTGCTTCTGCTGCAGTTTGCCCGCTGTCATTTTATTCTCATTTGTTCTGTGGTGTTACTTGCCGGCAGATTTACGTTGCGCTATGGACTCTAGCAATAGCATTTTCGGTTGTTTAGGACGAGAAGACTGCTTCGTCGTTGTGGAAGTGGGGGTACGTCACTGCGGTGCTGGCGTCATCACTCTGTAACACGCTCGGAATTTCGTTGACTTTATTCGCAGCTTCCAAGCATGTTGACCAGTACAAACTGGAGTCGCCAAGATCTCAAACCCTCGCACGTGGCAACGGATGGAGCAGAGCGTGCAACAGGTTGGACGGCCACGAGACTAGGCGCACATCACGCTGAGGGCGGTGCTTGTGCGCTGAAACTGTACAGTGTGGAAGAAGAAGAAGAAAAAACAATTCGCGGGACCAAGAATAACTGTGCTTCTCCCGTTGCTTGATCGATGACGGATACTTCGCGCTGAGTCCGAAACCTACCGGTGAAAACCACTAATTTCGTCCTGCGAAAGTTTTTTGCTCTTTCTTGCAACCACTTTCTCTCCCTCCCTCTCCGTTTCTTTATGAAACAACACCGCATGGGAGTGTCAGTGCTTGCAGATCAGGCCCCTCCCACAGCAGTGGTTCGCTTCCCGAGCAAGTCACGACACCAATCACCGCAATCACACCACACACCTGGAACAGGCATCCGACTTGCAACGGCAAGTCCGCTGGCCACGCCTGGCGCGGCAATCCACTCATCCAGCTAGCCACTGCACTTATTTGTCGGACCCTCCGAGATAATCGGAGATTATCTCGCATGCGTGCTCTGCTGCCAAATCAAAGACAACAAGGAATGGATTCTCCTCGTCCAGGCCAGAGCCTGCGTGCAAGGTGCGTGGCCTTATCAACAAGGAACCTCCACAGGTGGCAGTTGTCTGGCCTTTCCCAAGGTCGATGCTTCTTCTGATCTGACGCACAGAGAGATGTGCGCGCTCAGCAAGAACATTCACTGATTGGCCGCAGTGATACTCTGGGCTGGGCTCCTGACGGCCAGTCAGTCACCTTGTCATTCCGGAAGTGCCACTCCACTCAAGTCTTTCACTCTCTCTTTCCTTCCGAGTTGGAGATGCATTCTCTTGAAACGACTACTACGACATCCAGCGCTGCTACCAGGCAGCTATTTCTAGTCCTGCTATCACAGCCGCGGCTGCGGCGCAGCAACGCGACTTACGAATCTTTCATCTTCAAAATTTCCGCCATTTTACGGAACCGGAAGCTTCCGCAACGGTCAAAGTGATGGTTGGCTGCTATCATTGCAATCGCCTCTGAGATAGACACAGCTATGCACCAATCCTGTCCACACTTGGCGGGTCCTCAGCTGGAGCCCGCTAGCCGTCAGCTTTCTGAGCATGAGACGGCTAGCCGTCATCTCTCTGAAGGCGCGTCGGCTAGCGGCCAGCCTTCTGAATATGAGTCGGTCAGACATGAGGTGTGCGCGCAGGAGTGCGGGCGGCGGGGGAGCGAGTTGAAGTTGAAGTGGGAGGAGGTGGTGGCGTGGGTGGTGGGCTCCGATGGGCACAACTGGCTCAAGTACGGCCAGAAGCAAGTGCAGCGCTCCCACGCCACCAGGTCAGCACCGTTGACTCGCGTTGACTCTTGTTGACTCGCGTTGACTCTTGTTGACTTGCGTTGACTCTTGTTGACTTGCGTTGACTCCTGCACGTCTTCTTCTGTTGACTCCAGTTGCCTCCTGTTTCTGCTTATCATAGTTTCAAAATGCATGATGATATCACTATATGCTGTGCTCCCCCGTGCTCCATCATCCTCTATCCCTTGCTGAGTAGGATTCTCCGTTTCACCCCCACCTGTGCTGCTGAATCCGTCATCTTCCCCCGTCACTCTCCCCTTCCCCTTCCTTTCCCCCTCTCGTCTGCCATCATCAGGTGCTACTACAAGTGCAGCCGCGCCAAGGCCAACCTGCGCTGCCCAGCCAAGAAGACCGTTGACATCAACTGCCGCTACGGCTCGGACCCTCTCTTCCCCGACGCCATCCAAGTCACCTACCGCTGCCGCCTCCACAACCACCCCGCGCCTCTCATCCGCCGTCCGTCCAACCACCCTATCAAGCGGCCTATTTACCGCACTACTAACCGGTCTCTCGACCGGCCCGTGAGCCACCATATCAGCCTCGCTGCTTCACACGGTGGAATTAGCTTGACGGCAGCGTCTAACGCTGTACGCCTTGTTGATCTTGGTGCAGCTCAGAATTCCCCGGACGGTCGCTCCGATGCAGCTCTGAACGCCCCGGGTGCTAATTTTGGTGGGCCTCTGAACGCCATGGCGCCGGCATTGCAGCATGAGGGCATGAGTGGTGCTACTGGCTGTGCTTTCAATGCTGGTTGTGCTGCTGCTGCTGCTGCTGCTGTTGTCGATGGTGGTACTGATTCTGTTGCTGGTGCTGATGATGCTGAGGCTTCTGCTCATCAGGGTGGTGGCATTGGTGATGCTGCTGATGCAGATTGGACCATGGCAGCCCTCTTGAACTCTCCCTGCCAAATGGAGCAGTGTCTCCCCCGTCGACCCACCTCCAGTCGTCCCAGAGTGATGGCACCCGAGAGTGATTCCCTGCGCGCGTTGGACGTCTCCCCAGTGTTTCCCCCGTCGACCCACCTCCAGCCATCTCCTCCGGGGCTGGCTGGGCTTATCCCCGTTAGTGGCTGCCCCACTATCCTCAAATATGGGGCTTCTGATCACACGCGGAGGTCTACAATCTATGAGGAACTGCGGCTTCTGGATCTCGGATCTCAGATGCTTCAAGAAGATGACGGCCATGGATTGTACGGTGAGGAGGAGGATCCGACGGATGAGATTTACTCTTCTCTGGGAGCAATATCGCCTACGAATCAAGACCTTCAAGACCTTCAAGAGCTCCGAGAGCTGTCGCTGCCTTCCTGTGTCAACCACGTGGGGCTGCTACCAGACTTTTCTGACGATGGGGTGATTGAGGAGGAACAGACCGCTGGTGGTGTGGCGGTGGGCAATGGGGAGAGTTTGATTCATGATCTGCACTCTGATGGGGAGGAAGGGTCGGTACACGGTCCGTTCGGTACGGGGATGGCAGCACTGATGGCGCATGTGCTGGATACTGCTGTGCCGGGTGATGCTTTGTCTAGCGGCGGTGCTGTACCCAATGCTCCTGGAAATCATACCCAGAAGGAGACTTCGCCGTTGACTCAACAGTCACCTTTGACTGACTACTGTGCTGCATCTGATGCTCCTGGGTTCCGGACCCAGCAGGATGTGAGTGTGGTGCAGCAACAGCAGCAGCAGCAGCAGCAGCAGCAGCAGCAGCAGGAACAGCAACAACCACAGCCGAAGCAGCAGCAACAGCAGCAGGCGTCAAAGCAGACGGATCAAGCGTTGCTGGTGTCTCTGGCTGATTCCTTCTTGCAGAGCAACACCACGGGTGTAAAGCGACCTGCCTTAGCCATGCCCGGGACTCTAACTGTCAATCTCCCTGCCTCTCTCCCAGCCGCTCTCCCTGCCCCTCTCCCTTCCTCTATCCCTGCCCCTCACCCTGCCCATCTCCTAGCACCTCTCCATTCACCTCTCCCTGCCCCTCTCCCTGCCACTCTCCCTGCCTCTCTCCCTGCCTCTCTCCCTGCCTCTCTCCCTGCCTCTCTCCCTGTCCCTCTCCCTGCCTCTCTCCCTGCCTCTCTCCCTGCGTCTCTCCCTGCCTCTCTCCCTGCAGCGCCGTCTGCTGCACTGTCTGACTCAGGCGCGTGTAAATCAGAGTCTCTTACAGCCACCACCTTTGGTACGCTTAGGAATGTGCGGAAGCGACCCGCCTCAGCCATGGATGCACCGCCTCCTGCGCTCCATGCCACTGACCAAGCCTGTGCCCAAGCCTGCGCCGAATCCTGCGCCCAAGCCTGTGACCAAGCCTGCGCTCGTGTGGACCCTACGAGTATGGTCTTACAAGACGAGCTGCGTACCTGGACCAGCAAACATCCGGCCGTTTGTGGCACTAGTTACAAGTCATGCCGCACAGAATCCAAAACAAGCAGCAAAGAATTAAATACGAGTAGCACGTGTTATGAGGCTCCTCAAAACCCTCCCATCCTTACAATGCGTGCAGCCTCTTCGGACCAGCTGGCAATATTCCCATCCACCTCTGAGTGCGCAATATTTGGCTCATTGCGCCAGCTGCAAGCTGCTGGTATGTCGAAGCTGTTGATACCGGCAGCAGTAGTTGCGTTTCTAGGAGGGGGCAGCACCATCCGGGTTTCAGACTTCGCAGCCGTCGGCGTGCGGAAGGAGCTGCAGTCATGGCTCGAGGGTGCGGCTTAGGAGGTAATCCAATCGTGCAGTACACATGTTTTCCAGTATGATACATCATGTACCGTACCTGATACTTCGGATAAACTTAAGCTTGACGTCAGGCCCCGTGCTAGGATTTGGGGCACCCTGAGGCCTCAGGGCACCTTTCCAGAATCTTAAAAAATGCCCTGATTTGTCAGGGCAATTCGTCAAAACCTTCCTGTAGTGTCAGGGCTTTTGCAGAAATTGATCCTGACCTGTCAGGGCAAAAGAACGAGTGTTCAGTGTTCTGATTCAATCCAAGCAAAGGATAACCCCCCGAAGCCGCTCGACTCCGGATTGATGCCCATGCCATGCTGAGTCGAACCGGAAACCTGCAGCTCCCTCCTTCAGCTGATGCAGGCAACGCGGCAAACTCCGAACCGAACCCACCAAACCCCACCCTGACCTATGACCAAGCTGTCAGAATAGTGGCCTAAGTAGACTAGGGTTTTGGGGTAAGAGAGTAGCGAGAGAAACGGAAGAAGAGAGGGGTTTACACTAATGAGCAAGATACATGATATAGTTCAAGGGCATATATATGAACTTCCAGGGCATTTCAAATTACCACATCCTAAGGCTACAGGGTGAAAATTGACACAATTCTGAAATCACAGGGCAAATTCAAAACTGCATCCTGAAATCAGGGTAATCAGGATGTTTTGCCCTGATATCGTGGGGCCTGCTTGACGTGGCAGCGGTGGTCAATTGTAACAGGCTCTCTACGCTATGGGTTTCCCATATGTGTGAGTTATTGCACATGCACCACTAAGGCCAGAGTGCCGCATTTTTACTAAGGACAATTCTGAGTAGCCTAAGGACAGGCTTTGTTGCCAAGTCACAATTTCAGAAATCTGTCACCATGTCATAAAACTATCAAAGCATGATTGTAATATTTCAATGTAAACGTCACCATTTCCAGCTATGTAGCTGCTGATATTTGACATGGCAAACGGGCAAACCCCAACGTTTTCACTCAGGCCGGCCGGTTGTTTAACCGATGGTCGGCGAAATGACGGCCGGCAAGCTGACGACCGGCGAGCTGACGACCGGCGAGTTGACGGCCGGCGAGTCGGTTGTTCAGAATGGTGTTTTTGTTCAGGCGATCATTCCGCACTTGGGTCATCGTGGGTGCTCACTTCCTCCGCTCACTTGGGACAAGGGAGCGCGGATGGGGTCTGTCATTCAGCCCAGGTGAGGGGAACGAATTGTTTGGTTGGCATCTCCCACACCCGCTCTTTGCTACAGTACACGTGTATTTGCTATTTTCTGACCGTAGCAAGTACACCCTTATTTCTCAGCTTTCTCACCGCGGAAGCACTGGCTACAGTGTTTGGACGTAGCGGGCTGGTGCGATAACTCGGTTGCGGGCAAAGTCGCACGAGGTGACGAGGCAAGCCTTGGGCATTAAAAAACCGTTAACGTTGAATAACCGTCCTAACCGTTTTGAAAGCAACAGTACCACTCTATAAAGTTTGAGACCCTGACTGACCGCCTTAGGTGAAATTGTCACTATAACGCATGTGATAGGACCTTCTTTGGTCCGTTGCGGCTAGGTCAGTATAGCATATGCCATTCTATCGAGAATTAGGGTGTACCGTCATCGTAGCTGTACCGACCTACCCTCCCAAATTCGTCTGTTCGATAGATTTTTGACTGATGGGCGAAACAAGCCCTCGTGCTGAAAATTTTATCGGACATGGAAAGGAACTCTCCTTTCACATTTTGAGACGCTTCGACACACTGGGGCACGCACCCCAACACTCTTGTTGTTGTTTTGTTTTGTTTTTGTTTTTGTTTTTGTTTTTTTTTTGTTTTTTTTTTTGTTAAGGATATTCAATGGAGTGATCGCGAACATGAAGTGACTGGCCAACATTTCGGTTATAGCCTGAATGTGGAAGGCGTGCTTGTGGATATCCGAGATGGGCCAATTCAAAATTCTGAAGACCCATTTACCCTAATTTGCATAAAGGACAAGAAGAATCAATCGCTCCACAGCTGTGTCAGATGCTGCATTCCACACTGTTCATTGTGCTCTGCATTGTCACGCATGACAAACCCACGAGGACAGAACCCCACTCGCCTGAACCGCCCCTACTGTATATTTCCGACGGGACACGATTCGTGTTTATCAGCAATATGGAAAATGAAGAAATCCCGCGAAACCAAAATTCACTGCAAAAGGTTGGACTGATGAGACCCTGGTGGTGATGAGGTGACATGGTGATTAGAGTAGGCAAAAAAAGGATCGTCACTTTCCCCAGAACACGTGAACATGTTTCCATACTCAAGTCACGACGGCATGACTACGGAATTCGGAACTTCCCATTTGAACCCCTGAAACTTGAGACTGTGTCCCCACTGGTAGCACAACAGTACACAACTCACCTGTAACCAGTCCTGCTAAACTTTACGCCAAATTGGAGAGTTTATCTAGTAGTAGCATGCATATGCGCCACTGTTAGCTGGCTGATGACCCAGGGGGTACATTATGTAACTTATGTTTTGTTTTACTTGGCCTTCCTTCAAGGAAGGACCATCTTCTCGCTCTGCCACTGGCAGTGGTGCAACAGCGTTTCTGACCTTCAGCCTGCTCTGATGCTCCTTCTTCCGGACGATCCGCCGCATTGGGCATCTTTCAACGGTTGAAAGTTAGCAACAGTGCTACTACAGTGCCAGATTTTTACGGGAGGTAACATAAGTGCTAAATCCTGTCACGGTTGTTCCTTGCAACTCATTCCCCACTCTGATTGATCCTACTATCATCAAAACTAGAGCTAGTTTTATCATTCCCCACTACTATCGAGCTAGTAGGCTACTACTAGTAGTGCTGCTACCAGCTCGAACTTCTAACTGCTATTGCTTGTCCAACCACAGTTGGACGCAGGTCTCTGCCATATTATCACAATTCCCTCCGAGATGGACACGAGCCGCCTCTTGGAGAGTCCGCAGCAGGAAGCGCCAAGCCGTCCGCTCTCTGAGCACGCGGCGGATAGCCAGCATCCGCTCTATGAGAATGAGTCGGGCAGCCCGGAGGCGTGCGAGCAGGACTGGGGGCGGCCGGGGTGGGAGGAGGTGGTGGCGCGGGTGGTGGGCTCCGATGGGCACAACTGGCTTAAGTACGGCCAGAAGCAAGTGCAGCGCTCCAACGCCACCAGGTCAGTCTTGCTGAGTCCCATTGACTTCTGTTTGACTTGCTTTTAACTCCTGTGACTGCTTTCCATTGTCCTTTGTCAGCAAAGTCATATGTTTATCATGTGAGTGCAGGATCGTGTCTCAAATCCGCCATGACTCATGGCATCGCCTTTTTGTAGGAAGGTGCTGTGCTGCTATTGTATGTTCCTAAACGGTCTGGTAGGTGGGTCACATTTTCCGCTCTAAGACTAATATCGGAGATACTTCCTGGAAAATCCTCAATTCGGGGTGAAATCCAGGTTGGAGTTCAGAAAGAGCCGCTGAGCACAGATTCAGGACAGGCCTTTTTTGTGAGCTACAACTTACCCATCCTGAGGTGCTTTCATCTCCAAAATGTGCTAACCTGAATCTTTCCTAGAAGTCACTTTTGGGTTCTATGTGTTTGCACTATCCCGAATTTGCCCTATAAGATTCTTTTGGGTCAGAAATGTGACCCAAATGTGACCCAACTCTATCCCAGAAGACACTTTCGGGATGGTTGGAAACTTTGAGGCCCACAAGTAACTTTGAGGTCAGAAACATTTTGGCGATGTTGCAACGCCTTTGGGGCTTACACGTAGTGCATCTGCTGCGCTTCAACTGCATAGCCCTCATTTTGACCCACTGGATAGCAAGGTCACCTTGGTATATACGCGTTATACGTGTACTAGAACCTAGGATTCGATTCCCAGCTGGTACCAGAAATCTGATGCTAGTAGGGACAAGTTGAATGTGGTAACCCAGTTACAGGCCCAGGGAACGGTCCGCTGTTGACCTGCCCCACCAGCGAAGTAGCTGTAGTGCCCATTCCCCGCCACCAACGGCGTAATTGACGTTCTTCATAGGGCCCGGCCCTCCAGGGGGAATTCCCTGAAGTTCTGAAGCACCGAGGACGTTAGCATCAAGGGGGGGGGGGGGGACGGTGTACTAACGCCTGTGTGGCCATCTCCAAATGAAGGTTGAGTGCATTCGCTGTTCCTCAAATATAACCCTCATTTTGTCCCAGCGGGTAGCGAGGCGTTGTATGCTTTGTGTGGGGTACTTAACTCATCCAGCTCACTTCCCCCTCCCCCCTCTCACCCCTCCCTAACTCCATCCACTGCATCACAGGTGGTAGTACAAGTTCCGATCTGAACAACAAATAATAATCTCTTCCCAACCTGCCCCGCCCTCCTCCTTCCCTCCTCACCCTCTCCCAACCTCCGGCATCATCAGGTGTTATTACAGGTGTGGTCGCTCAAAGGCCATCCCGCGCTGCTCGGCCAAGAAGACCGTTGACATCAACTGCCGCAACGACTCGGAGACGCTCTCCCCAGACGCTATCCAAGTCAAATACAGCAACCGCATCCACAACCACCCCTTGCCTTCCAGACGCACCCGTCTGCTCAATCACCACTTTCTCCCCATTACTATCCCCACCAAGCGGCTGAAAAACCGCTTTACTGATGAGCCGCCCTGTTGATCACCCTAACATCCACCCTATTTGCCAGCCTCCCGACCTTCCCACCGGCCGCGCTACCAGCCGTCATGCGAACCTCACTATCAGCACCGTCCTGGTGGAAGCATTGCAGAATGAGAGCATGGAAGTGACTGCTACTGCTGCTGCTGCTGCTACTGCTGCTGCTGCTGCACCTCTCAATGCTGGTGCGGCTGCTGCTGCTGCTGCTGCTGCACCTCTCAATGCTGGTGTGGCTGCTGCTGCTGCTGTTAGTGATGGTGGCGCTGGTGCTGCTGGTACTGGTGCGGCTCGTGCTGCTGCTGATGATGGTGCTGATTGTGGTGCTGGTGCAGCTGGTTCAGCTGCTGCTGCTGCTGGT